TGGAATTCGTATGTGATTCATTACCCTCATAGCTTCCAGACTAACCAAGCTGAAATTTCCAGCTGGTGCTGGGAAAACAGTCCTTGCGTGTGTTCGTTTTATGCATTCAATCGCTGCTACTAATTATGAGAATTCTAGATCAATGGTTGTGGATCATCTCAGTGCTGCATGCAAAAACAACAAGGATATTGGTGTAGCTTGCATTTATCTGAACCACAAGGAAGTGGAGAACCAAACACCATCTAGGCTTCTCGCAGGTCTCTGGAGACAGCTTGTACTTGACAGGAAAATTGGCTCCACTGCAGAGGATCTATACAAGCAGCACCAAGAAAGGGACACTTCACCATCTCTGGAAGAAGTTGCCACCGTACTCAGGTCTAGCATCAGAGAGTTGTCAAAGGTCCTCATCATCATTGATGCCATGGATGAATATCCTGAAGTTCAGCGGAAAATTCTACTCCGCCAACTAGCAGCAATGGGTAGCAATATGAACTTAATGATCACTTCACGGCCCCATATTTCTCTGGAACCCTTCTCCCTTTCAGATCTCAAATCTCTAGATATTCAGGTAACACCTGATGATCTCCGGGATTATGTCAACACACAAATTGACTTGTCACCACGCCTGGCTGTGCACGTGAAGGAGCAACCCAAGCTACGGGAACACATTCACTCAAAAATCAACACTGACACTGTGGATGGAATGTGAGTGGTAACCACAGTTTGTCAGAAAGTAACCAATATAAATTCTGACTAGGTTCCTTCTGGCCAAACTTCACATGAATTCTCTTAGCACAAAGAACAGAATCAGGGACGTTCAACAAACATTGGAAAAACTACCAACATCTCTTGATGACAGCTATAATATAGTAATGGAGCGAATCAACACCCAGAATGAGGACGATAGGAAGACAGCTCGCTCTGCTCTTATCTGGGTTGCTAATGCAAAGCGACCATTGAAAGTCTCTGAGATAACAGCTGCTCTGGCTATTGAACCAGGGGATCAGCAGCTTGGCAAAGCCAATGTTCTGGATATCATTCTCTCTGTCTGTGCTGGCCTTGTCATTGTGGATAAAAAATCTTCTGTAGTGCGACTTGTCCACTACACCACACAGGAATATCTGGACAAAATTCAGGCCAAGGAGTTCCCAGATGCACAAAAAGAGATAGCACACACTCTGCTCACATTTCTTGCCTTTGATGGGTATCCAGATTCATCCTGGACGTCAGGGAATCTACCCCCTCTGGTTGGGTATTCACAGTATTGCCTTGCACATGCTGTCGGACAGCCAGAAGTTCAGCTTAGAAGAATCCTTCTAGCCTTTCTTCATCAGGCCCCTCAGTGGAAGAAAACAGTGACGTGGAGATGGAATTACCAACCTTGGGATTATTTAGATTGGCCATCCCAACCCTCTGCATTGTGGATTGCAGCAGTTGCAAACCTTGCCGAAACTGTAACATTTTTGCTGCAGGGGGCACCTTTGCTGCATGATTCAATGAGCCCAGAGATCATTGCAGCATCATACTATGGCCACACAGAGATTGTTCGCATCCTCCTTGACAAGGGTGCCGACGTCAATGCAGCAGGGGGATCCTATGGGAGCTCCTTGCAGGCTGCTGTCCAACAGGGTCACACAGAGATTGTCCAAATGCTTGTTGACAAGGGTGCTAATGTCAATGCAGCAGGGCGAAAATATGGGAGCTCCTTGCAGGCTGCTGCCCACTGGGGCCACACAGAGATTGTCCAGATCCTCGTTGACAAGGGTGCTGATGTCGATGCAACAGGGGGAGAATATGGGAGCTCATTGCGGGCCGCTGCTGCTAAAGGCCACACAGAGATTGTCTGCATCCTTGTTGACAAGGGTGCTGATGTCGATGCAGCAGGGGGAGAATATGGGAGCTCATTGCGGGCCGCCGCTGCTGAAGGCCACACAGAGATTGTCCAGATCCTTGTTGACAAGGGTGCTGATGTCAATGCAGCAGGGCGAGAATATGGGAGCTCCTTGCAGGCTGCTGCCCACTGGGGCCACACAGAGATTGTCCAGATCCTTGTTGACAAGGGTGCTGATATCGATGCAGCAGGAGGAGAATATGGGAGCTCATTGCGGGCCGCTGCTGCTAAAGGCCACACAGAGATTGTCTGCATCCTTGTTGACAAGGGTGCTGATGTCGATACAGCAGGGGGAGAATATGGGAGCTCATTGCGGGCCGCCGCTGCTAAAGGCCACACAGAGATTGTCCAGATCCTTGTTGACAAGGGTGCTGATGTTACTGCAGCAGGGGGAGGATATGGGAGCTCCTTGCAGGCTGCTGCCCGCTGGGGCCACACAGAGATTGTCCAGATCCTCGTTGACAAGGGTGCTAATGTCGATGCAGCAGGGGGAGAATATGGGAGCTCATTGCAGGCTGCTGCTGCTCGAGGCCACGCAGAGATTGTTGGCATCCTTCTTAAAAATGGTGCCAACGTCAATGCAGCAGGGGGAAAATATGGGAGCTCATTGCAGGCTGCTGCTGCTCAAGGCCACACAGCAATTGTCGGCATCCTTCTTGAAAATGGTGCCAATGTCAGTGCAGCAGATGCAATATGTAGGAGCCTATTGCAGGCTGCTGTTAATCGAGTCTACACAGACATTTTTTACATCTTTCTTGAAAAGTTTGCCAAGAATGCAGTAGAGGGAGAATCTGGGAGCTGTCTGCAGGCTGAAGCCGAAGAATATAGAAGCTTGCCACTGGTTGCTTTTGGCAGGAGCGGCACAGAGATGGGTCATATCTACCTTGAAAAGGTTGGAAATGTTACTTTTAATCAGGATGTCAACATCAATGCAGCTCAAAGAATATATGGGTTCTTTCTGTATGCTTCTGCCGCCAGAGGTGACATAGAGATTGTTCACATCCTTCTGGAAAGGGGTGCGAATGCCGATGTACTGGGAGGTGAATATGGGAGCTCCTTGCAGGCTGCTGCCTACAACGGTCACACAGAGATTGTCCGTATCCTTCTTGACAAAGGTGCCAATGTCAACACAGCAAAAGGAAAATATGGGACAGCCTTAGATGCTGCTGCCCACATGGGCCACACAGAGATTTCCCGCATCCTTCTTGCAAAAGGTGCCAACATCATCAATGAAGCTGAGAGAAAATATGGCATCTTGTTACAGGCTGTTGCCATTGAAGGTTACGAAGATGCGATCAAGATCCTCCTTAACAAGGGTGCCGATGCCAATGCAACAGGTGGAATATATGGGAGTCCCTTGCAGGCTGCTGCCTCTATGGGAAAGGCAAGGATTGTCCGTATCCTCCTTGAAAAGGGTGCCGATGTCAATGCAACAGGTGGAACTTATGGGAGCCCCTTGCAGGCTGCTGCCTACAATGGCTACATAGATATCGTCTCTACACTTCTTGACAACGGTGCCAATGTCAATGTGGCAGGTGGACAATATGGGAGTTCTTTGCAGGCTGCTGCCTACAATGGTCATGCCAAGATTGCCCATATTCTGCTTGTGTATGGTGCTGACATTGACCAAGCAAGTGGAAATCTTGGCACTGCATTGGAGATTGCAACACAGAGAGGGCAGTTTTCGGAATGGGGTGGCTATAATAAGGTGGTAGACAGGTTGTTGGAGTGGCGTGCCAGGTAGCCAGCCCCAGTGGGAACTGAAGAAGATGAACAGCAGTGAGTCTGACTCCAAATGTTCATATTGGGAACTCATATACCTCTTTATCAGGTGTTAGGTATTCACTATGCAACTTTGGAAATACTTGGACAGTAGGGGTAGTTGAGAAGGTGAACAAAACAGCTATTTGCAGGGATCACGTTGTTGCTTTCCTTGTTGTCGAAAAAAAAAAGTACTTTGTAATGTTTCTTACTTCAGTAGCCCTAGCACCATCAATTCTAATCTGATTTGTGCTGTAACCCAAGTGACCTTGCTCAAAGTGCACAAGCACAATCTGTCTGCACTGGCAGGTATCATTGGAATATTTCATTCCACATATCTACATGGAATGTGCTGTAAAATTTAAATGTCTACATTACAAACCATACGAGCAAATGGAAAAGGATTGGGGAAACTGCCTCCAATGATTGGATGCTGATTTGCAGGCACTTGCAAAGAGTCGGAGCAGATATGCCAAAGGTAGAGCTATGAAGGCTTCAAACAGACAAACATGAATTTATAAGAAAAACTCTTTGTATTAGAATTGTAAATTTACTTAGCCTCAAACCAGTCGCAAGGGCGTAAGATCTCAAAGACAGTCATTTGAGCACTATGCCGGAGGGACTGGAAGATAATCACCGTCAGCTCATAGACGTGGAGATTGCCGAGAAATATTTTCTGAAGGTCCTGAAAAAAAAAAAAAAAAAAAAAAAAACACACAAATTTACATAAACATTTTTCACTACAATTCTAACTGAAATTCGAGGTGAAAAACTTAAAACAAAGTTCATAAGAGTTCATACTAAATTATCACCATGAATCCTAGTTTTTCAGAGATTTTTGACTGGAAAAGTCGCTGAAAGATTTAAACATTCTTTACCACTATTTTTAGTGAAATTCAAGATGAAAAACTTGAAACAAATTCATAAGGTTTCATACCACCTTTTCAGCTCAAATTCACCCAGACTTGTATGGCGGTCACTTTGCAGTTTTATTATTCCAGACTTTTCTTCCCACTTTCCGACACTTTTTTCATGTTTTTTTGTGATTCCATACTATATCGTGCCGGGAACCTGGCCACTTAAGCGTTTTCGACCTGTTCTCGCCTTAATACAGCCTTTTTCTGGGTGTTGCCTTGGCCCATGCGATAGGCACACATCCCGGGAAGATATTGAGTATATTCCCAGAATCTTTCACCCTGATTTGAGCACGATGTGAGCTGTCACTTTGTGATGTGCTCCGAAGGCGGCCAAACGGGAGGAAAATCATACTTTCACGATGGCAACTCTGTATCCAAGAATATGGCAAGCAATCACACCTCCGAATAAAAAAGACTCACACCATTCCACAAGGCCAGACCCCGAATCGAACGGAGACCTTGCGAGGAAACGTTACAAGCTCTCTATTTGTCTCACATGCATTACCATTCCGCCACCTGGCCATGATTAGGACGGGGAGCTTCGACAAACGGACAAAAAGAACAACCTCATGGCGAACCAGGACTTGCCGGACGGTCCATCCGGGTCCACTAAACGTGCAATCTGTTTCCATGGGATGCCGATTTGCGTGGTAGGTGTTCATATATTTCGTTACATTTCATTGAAATACAATTGAAACCTTGTCTCTCATCGACATATAGGGCCGTTCGGACTTTGCGAAGGGAAATTGGGAGTTCAAGGTTTGGACAACGTGTCTGTTCTCGTACGCCGCCCGTGGATCTCGCAGAGGCCGTACTGACTCTGTGTGCAGCGAAAGATGCCGTGGACCTCTATGGCACTTTCCCCATCACCCAGCGGCCAACAAATGTCCCAAAGGACGCCTTCGCGGCGGGCATCCAGCACACCCAGCAGACAGCCTATTTTCACCGGGACCAGTGTCCTCGCCATTAAATTCAAGGACGGCCTCGTGATGGCCGCCGATAACCTCGCATCCTACGGCCCCCTCGTGCGCTTCCGCGATCGCGCACTGTGGGGAGCAATTCCAATCAACCTGAGTGCACAGATTCAATCGGGATGATTGGCGGATTCCATCAGGTTGAGTGGTGCCCACAAATTAAGTTGAGTGTAATTGTACACTCAGGCCGATTGTGATTTGGCAGATTTTGCTACACAGCCTGAGTGTATGCCACAATTATCATGAGTGCTTTCATACACTCAGGTTGAATAGCACAGGTCAGTCAGGTTGATTGGCAATATCACAATTTAGTTTGGGCCATAAAACTTTGTGCATATTATACTAGATAGGTACAATCAATGCTATACTACACCAGAACCGGCCCCATCGTCGAGTAAATTCCATGTTGTACCTTGGGAGGAAGATAAGAAGTCAGTATGCTGCCATAAGAGGAGTAGGAGCGAACAAACCTTGGTAGAAGTTGATTTCCAAACCGCTCGGGGGGTTCTAATAATGGGTAAATTGGCGGCGGTGTGGAACAAAAGCGAAGTACGACGTACAACACGCAGAGGTCCGAGTACTAACGTACCCAGTTGTTGAAGGGTTAGTATAACGGAATATGGTCAACACAATTAGGTCAGTCAGACACCGGCTCAAAAATGAAGAAACTTATCTAAGATAGGGCTCATGGACTTCATGCATACATCACATGATGTTACTGATGTGTGACCCTACGTTACTTCTCCGTTATCCTTGCTCTGCATGGACATCTTTTATGGTCCCGCGCTCCCAAACGATGACGAAAAGCTTATCATTTATATTAAGGCTAGAAAAGACCTCCAAGAGGGCAAATATGATTATTTAATTGACGCTCCGCCGGCCGAAAATACCCCGCAAGTCGCTGTATTCCCTGTGTGAATATGATACTCACCAGTTCACAGAACCCTTTGGCCTGGTGGAGAACCAATTAATCTTGAAAATGTGTCACCCTCAGTGCTGGATCAACTTCTTTCATTGAAGCACCCGGCAAACCGTGCAACCCCAGCACACGAGATTGAAACATTTACTTATGGCGCAAACCTCATCGTTAATACAATGAAGGCAGCCTCGAGTGAAGAATTCAAGTTACCCCAGTCGCGAGAGCATATCACGGAGATCATTAAATATTTGCGGGACTTCATTACGCGCGTGGAAGATATTCTCGAGGACAATCCGGAGGCCAAATATGTATCTGATAACACTACAGCAGGCAGTTCAACTTAATTAGTCGCCTGTAACCCCGCTTTTTCCACTGCCATTGCCGCCTCCAATTCAATCATCAACGCCTCCGGCAGCATGCGATGACCCCGGTACTTCTTGCTTGCCCACGCTGCCCACTTGCCGTCAAGCCCTTTGTGGTATGCATCCATAAACCGACGCGTGCGACGTGCAAACCTGAATGAAAATCAGAAGAGTTCAATGAATTGAAAGAAATTGAATCGCACTTGCGCATATCCGTGACTGTAACGGCATCCAACGCCGCAACCATGTACGCTTCGACATCTTCTTCCCGTGAGGAAGGCGGATTCAGCCGATAGAGCCGCTTTGCCTTTCCCCAGCACATCTCGATAAAGTTAAGCTCGCAGTGAAATTTGGGCAGGAAAATCACAGAGAACCCGCGCTCCTTTGCGGCAATTTCCAGCAATGAGAGACCTTTTGCAAAGTCGGGCTCGTTGTACAGGATGCGGCGGCAGCAACAGCGAGGGTTGTCCGGTGGGCATTTGAACTCGGGGCACTGCGCTCTAAGCTCCTTTGTTTTACCGGTCTTGGGGTCAACGTGGGATGTAATATCGATCCCGCGTTCACGAAGGATTACCGACATTCCCTTGAAAACACCCGGGCGATCAGATCCAGGACCGTAATAAAATTCCTGCGGGGTGCCATCGGCGAAAAAGCCATTGGTCATTGCGATTTTGGTCTTCTGGGGCTTCCCATTGGTGTCATAGACAATGCCGCCGTCAGCGTTGCGCAAGGTTACCGGGATGCCCCAGTTAGGCTTCCCCACCGCCGGTGTATTCTTCGGCATATTGCGTGCGGAAATGGCGTCCTCGGCTCGTTTTAGGTGAGTGGTCGCATTGTCGAAGATGAAGACGTGCTCCTCGTCGGGATAGTCCCGCTCGAGGATCGCCATTGCTCGAGCAAGCTGTTCAAGAATCTCGGCATTAGTGAAATAGCCATCTCGATTTTTTCCGGGTCGAAAAATAACACGAGCGGATTCCTTTCCATCCTTCGAACGTAACCAGCCGTAGTCGGCCGAAACGAAGTCGGCCACCATCATGGAAACACCCTCGCCTTTGGCGTATGGTGCTGGCGACGACCCCTCCGCAACCCATTGTGATGTCCGCCGATCGTGTGCATAAAAAATAGACTCATCGTGGAACCAAACGACGATGCGCATCCCCGCGGTGTTTATGGCATCAACGACCTCTTCAAGTTCGTCCATGTTGTCCCCTTTCCAAGACCATGTTCGCCCTTCCATCTTGTACCAGGCTGGGAGAAACACCTCCTGCCGATAACGGACCACATCCTCGCGCTCGTGGCCGTCGACATATTGGCCTTTGTGGTTTTTAACCCAACGAAACTTGAGCGCGTGCATCCACCGTTTAGCCGTGGCGAGGGAAATGGTGTTGGCGAGATCGTATTTGGCTTTGACGTCCGAACGATTCATGAAAGTGATGATGTCGGTGGCCTGGACATATTTTCCGATGCTCACGAGGTGCTCCTTTAACTCGTCCGCAAGCTCCGGGTGCGTTTCGAGTTTGGATTTACACCAGATACTGGGGGAATGATACATCGCCGGTTCTCATTAGAGGGAATCCGCGATGTATCAATCGTTCTAGTTAGAGGGTTGGCGATACATCACCTTAGAACCCCTCCTATTTAGGTTCAGGCAGCGCCCAGCAGTAGAGCACACCATTGATGGCGTTGCTGAGCTGGCGATGTATCGCGTTAGAAGAGTGCCTCGTTCGAGAGGCGACGTGCGAGGACTTGAGCTCAACGTTGATCGTCGAGCTCACTGTTGATGGGGTCGACCAACAAGTTGGCTCTGTTTACACCGAAGGCCAACACTTTGTTTGGCATCACCCACACGGCCACACACCCGAATTTGGTCAAACCTCCTCGCATCTGAATAAGGAAATAATTGCAGCAGTGTGTCGAATTACAGTAGAAATACAGTAGAAATAAGTAGAAATACAAATTTGTGTGGTCGCTGTGTACAATCAACTTTAACTCCGCCTTGCGATCAGGAAAAAGTCGACCCCTCGTCACCGCGATCCTCTCTTTCGCCTTGGCGGGGAAAGGGTCGAGGCGGTATTGGTCGCTCGTCGCCCACCTCACCGTCCAACACCATTTCGTCTTCGTCCACCCCGTCAGCGGCCACGGCCTCCTCCGCCGCATTGTCGTCCTGCCCAACAGCTGTTCTCCCCATGTCGATGAAATCCGCAGCGTCGACCCACATCTCCTCGAACTGGGCCGCCCGTGTACGCAGTATCTCCGCTTGTCTTCTAGCGTACGCCACGTTGCCCTCTGCATACGATGGGTGCTTGGGGGCGTAGGCAACACCTGGCACCCGGTCTCCGTCCTCTCCTGGAGCTTGGGGACGCTGCCCAGCTCTCTCATCCCACCACCCGGCGCGCCACCGCAGGAACTGAAGGATTCGCCGCATTTCCTCCTCAAGCAGATCGAGCTGCTCGCTCTGTCACAAAAATCTCGCCCTTGTTTTCGCCCACTCGATTCGAAGTGCTGTAGACATGAGATATTAGCATGTTTTGCAGTGCGGAGCACAAAGTGGCAGACCTTTGTTCATCTCCCCCTCCTCTTCCTCCAAACCTGGACTCCTCCATATCCATGACATTCTGGCCTTCGCTTCCGCCCCCACCTGCTGCGCCTGCTGTCGCGCCACCGGTCCCTTCCTCATCAATAACTTCTTTCGTTCAGGGTCCTGGAATAACGCCCGCGGCATCCCTCTCACGTCCTCCGGCATCAGAGGCTGCAGCGCCTTCTCCCATCCACTGCGCTTCAGCTGTCTTCCCAGCGCCTTCAGCGCGCGCCATGCCGCGCGATAACGCTCGGCGGATCGCCTGGTCCGTTCCTCCACCCCCACAATCTTCGTCTGTGACCGCGAGTTCGCCTTGACTCCGCGGGCGAATCTATCCTTGTACTTGTAGAGGTGCGTGCGGAGGAGCAGCTGATGGCGCACGTCGTCGAGAGCCTCGTGCGCCTGCGCCTCGCGAAGCCGAAACTCGTAGTCGTATAGCTCGGTGTCGCAAGGGACGCGGCCGCTGATTCTAGAGGGCAGCCATAAGGACATGTGCTGCACCTGTACACCCGGCTGCACCTGCGTCGCGGAAATCCTCTTCCGCGCGCGGTCCTCCTCCGCCCGCAAGACAGCGACGTGGGGGATGATGAGAACCTGCGCATCCATCCACGTCAACAGCTTTTGCCGAAGTTTGTTGCCCCGTTCGGTCAGATTCGTCTGCTGCTCCGCGGTGGGGTGGTTGCCGATTT